GCATATATTTTTGCTTTACTTGATGAAAAGAAAACTTGATTAAACCTGGTATGAGACTTGGAGGGGAAGGGTCGAGTTTCGATATCAGTTAATAAAATTATTAGGGACTAACACACATTATAACCTTGAACTGAAAAAATAGGATTTTGGGGTTTATTTAACAAAAGATTACACAGGGACAGAATTTTAAAACTGAAACAGACTGTTTCTGGGAATCACCGCTTCATACGTAGTGTCCAGTCATGGTGTGGTTTTCCCATTAGTGTGCTTTTGGTCAGACTAGTGTTACAAAATTCATGAGTGTGGTGAGTTGACCCTGGCTGGACTCCAGATGTCCCCTCAAGCCACTCTGTCACTCCCCTCAACTGGACAGGAAGAAAATATAATGAAGGTTTGTGGGCAAGATAAGGACAGTGAGAGATCACTCACACATTACTGTTATAGGCAAACCAGACTCTATCTCCAGAAATTATTTCAGTTTATTACAATTGAATCAGAGTACGGTAATGAGAAATAAAACCAAATATCAAAACAGCTTCCTCCCACCCCTCCCTTCTTCCCTGGGCTCAGCTTCACTCCCAATTTCTCTACCTCCTCTCCCAAAGGCACAGTAGGGCAGCAAATGAGGGTTGTGGTCAGTTCATCACATGTTATTTCTACTGCTTCTTCCCCTTCACTCTCTTCCCCTTTTACCAGTGTGAGGTCCCTCCCATGGGAGACAGTTCTCTAATGTGAGTCCTTCCCACAAGCTGCAGTTGTTCAAGAACTCTTCAGCGTGGGTCCCTTCCATGGGGTACACTCCTCCAGGGTGTACTGCTCCAATGTGGGTCTCCCGTAGGGTCACAAGTCCTACCAGTAAACTTTTTCCAGTGTGAGCTCCTCTCTCCATGGGTCCACAGGTCCTGCCAGGAACCTGCTCCAACGGAGGCTTCCCATGAGGTGACAGCCTCTTTCAGGCATCCACCTGATGCATCGTGGACCTCCATGGGCTGCTGAGGCCTGCCTCACCATGACCTTCACCTCAGGCTGCAGGGGAATGAAGCACCTCCTCCCCCTCCTTCAGCACTGACCTTGGTGTCTGCAGACTTGTTTCACATATTCTCACTCCTCTCTCTGAGCTGCATTTGCTGTTGCCCAGGGTTTTTTCTCCCCTTCTGAATTATGTTATCCCAGAAGCACTACTACCATTGCTGATGGGCTCAGCCTTGGATCTGGCTGGCACTGGCTCTATCAAATACAGAGAAAGCTTTTGGCAGCTTCTCACAGAAACCACTCCTGCAGTCTCCCACTAACAAAACTTCACCACGTAAGCCCAATACAATGGACAGTATAATTTCTCCTTAGAATTCTTGGCTTATTGGAAAAATGGACTCCTATGTCTTTGTGCTATAGCACAGACAAAGCTGATCAGCTGACCTGAGGGGGTGTATGGCCATGTCCAGGGTCTTTGAGGTGTGAAGAGGAATATCCTTTGGCTCTTCTGACTGAAGAGGTTGTTTTTGCACCAGTTCCTGTGAGGGTGGTTCTATTGAAGTCCTGTCCCCAAATGTGTGTGACCTTGGGATGTACAGAAAGAGCAGACGAGGGCCTTGTTCTGTTCTCCTTTATTCCTAAATGCATTTTCTACTTGTGCCAGTTTTGTACTTTTCAAGATTGTTGAGAAAGTTGTATTTCTTTACATCTATGTGTTTTTAACGTACCAGTGATTATATTCATCCCATTATAAAGGAATTAATTGATATTTAACAGAGAAAAACAATAACTGGGATTAGAGAATGGGGGGGCATGAGAACAACTGATAAGAACTTAGAACAAGAGTATGTAAAAATATTTTTTTATTTATATTGAACCTTATTTTAGCAATAAAAAACCAAATTCAACCATTCAACAATTTCATCAAATTCCATGTGTTTTCTTTTCATAGGACTGGACTCAACATATTGAACAGAAGACAACTATATACTTCTATGTTTCTATAAAAACACAAGATAAACCTGGACAGCATAATGAGACCCCTCAAAAATACCTATGTCTTTGTTTGTGCCTTTACATTCACACTATGGAATAATATCCAGCCAACTGTGGAAAATGAATTTATTGCAAATTATTCAGGCAGATTGCTAACTAATGTTCCAAAAAACATTCCACTACATACTCAAGTATTAGATTTATCACATAATAGGATCTCTGGAATTAGTATCTCAGAATTTATTTACCTTTCTGACCTTCAAGTATTAAATCATTCTCATAATCTAATTACGGTGCTTGACTTTAGTGTCTTTGTTTTTAATGAAAATTTAGAATACTTAGATTTATCTCATAATAACATTTTGAAAGTTTGCTGTCTAACTCTTACATGTCTTAGACATTTAGATCTTTCTTACAATAAGTTTACTGCCTTGCCTATCTGCCAGGAATTTGAGAACATGTTTCGTTTGGAGTACCTAGGATTAAGTGCCATGATGATACGAAGGTCAGACTTCAGGTATATCAAACATTTGCAGCTGCGCACTGTCTTCCTGACCTTGGGAAACTTTTCTCTGTATGAGCCTCAGAGTCTGACAGCCTTAAATACAAAGAGGCTCCACATTGATTTTGCAGCAAACCAAAACTTCAGTTTTTCCCTCTTGTATGATGGAATGAGTATTTCAGAAAATTTAAAAATAGTTAACTTAATATATACCTTGAGCTATAAATATTTCCCCTCTCCTCCTTTAATACTTCTGAAGAAAATCAAGACAACAGCTCTCATTCTTGACACTGTGGATGTACAATGGCCTATCATTCTGCAAATTTTCCTGTTTATTTGGTATTCACCTGTGGAGCATTTGACTGTGAGAAATTTGACTTTTCGGGGATCACTGGAGGAGCTGACTAAATATGAGTTTCTACCCTTGTTAAGTTCTCTGGAACAGTTAATCTCTTTTGATGGCTCCATGAAAGCATTAACTTTGGAGCATGTTCGTATTAAGATTTATTACTTCAACCAGGAGATTCTGTACAGACAGTTTTCAGAGATGAATATTGCCAGTTTGACAATATATGATGCATATATGCCACACATGCTGTGCCCAAATAGAACAAGCTCATTTCAGTATTTAAATTTTTCTCGCAATGCCCTGACGGATGAGTTGTTCCAGAATTGTGGCACTTTAATAGATCTGAAATTACTTATTTTGCAATGGAATAAATTTGAGAGCCTTCTCAAGGTAAGCTTCATGACCAGCCGTATGAAATCACTGAATTATCTGGACATGAGCAACAACTTGCTGCGCCACGACGGAGCTGATGTACAATGCCAGTGGGCTGCGTCTCTGACAGAGTTGGACCTGTCCTCCAATCAGTTGGCAGATGCTGTCTTTGAATGCTTGCCAGTCAACATCAAAAAACTCAACCTACAAAACAATCAGATCAGCAGTGTCCCAAAGGGGCTGGCTGATCTAAAATCCTTGGAAGAGCTGAACCTGGCATTGAACAGGCTGGCTGACCTGCCGGGGTGCAGTAGCTTCACATCCCTGCAGTTCCTGAACACAGAGATGAATTCGATCCTCACCCCATCTACTGACTTCTTCCAGAGCTGCCCAAGGGTCAAGAAGCTACAAGCTGGGCACAACCCATTCAAGTGTTCCTGTGAACTGCAAGACTTTATCCGTGTGGAGAGGCAGTCAGGGGGGAAGCTGTTTGGCTGGCCATCAGCGTATGTGTGCGAGTACCCGGAAGGCTTGCGAGGCACGGAGCTGAAGGACTTCCACCTGAGTGAACTGGCCTGCAATACAACGCTGCTGCTTGTGACAGCCCTGCTGCTGACGCTGGTGCTGGTGGCTGTGGTGTCCTTCCTGTGCATCTACCTGGATGTGCCCTGGTACGTGCGGATGACGTGGCAGTGGACGCAGACGAAGCGGAGAGCTTGGCACAACCACCCCAAAGAGCAGGAGATGGTTCTGCAGTTCCACGCGTTCATTTCCTACAGCGAGCACGATGCGTTGTGGGTGAAGAACGAGCTGATCCCAAACCTGGAGAAGGGGGAGGGCCGCATACAACTGTGCCAGCACGAGAGAAACTTTGTCCCCGGCAAGAGCATTGTGGAGAACATCATTAACTGCATTGAGAAGAGCTACAAGTCGATCTTTGTGTTGTCTCCCAACTTTGTGCAGAGCGAGTGGTGTCACTATGAGCTGTACTTTGCCCATCACAAGTTATTCAGTGAGAATTCCAACAGCTTAATCCTGATTTTACTGGAGCCGATCCCTCCATACGTTATCCCGGCCAGGTATCACAAGCTGAAGGCTCTCATGGCAAAACGCACCTACCTGGAGTGGCCGAAGGAGAGGAGCAAGCATGCCCTTTTCTGGGCTAACCTGAGGGCAGCTGTTAACATTAACCTGCCATCCAGTGATGAAAACAGGTGTGGGGAAACAGATTAAGAATCTTTCTAATGGATTTTATTCTGTTTTATCTTTGAGAAGCAATAAATATTTCTTTCCTTTTTTGTCAATGTATTTAACTTTTTCTACCTGGTTGTCTGTGTTGCCTCCTAACTGTAGTCAAAATCCAGCTCACTTTATTGCAAATCTCTTGTGATAGCAAATCACAAATGAGTTTGAATGTGGATTTTGCTCTATGGTAGTGAGTTTTTCCTCAGCACAATAAAAGTCTGGGGCACTTGGCATAGTGGTGTGGAAAAATACTCGAGCTTGATGGAGAGTTTGCAGAGCTGCTCTAATCACAAAGCTCAGACAACTTGGTCAAAGGACATCTTTTACTGAAATTAGTCTGCACAAAAGAAAATTACGTATCCTGAAAAAAAAGGAAAGATGAGCTGCTTCACCTTTTGGAGCTCATAGCTTGGCACTGCAGCAAGGGAAAAGCAGTGAATTGACAATCAGAGCTCTAATTCTCATCCTCTGATAGTTTGGTACTATTTTGATCCTGAGAAATACCCTGACCCAAGGGTATCTGCATTAACAGAACTGCCTTCCTCATTGTTATTCATGTTTTGAGAAACTCCTGACTTCTCTACATCATGCCTTTTTTTCCCAGCTTTCTTCTTTTTTCTTCTTTTCACTCCTATATCTTACTTTTTGCTTCTTAAAAGAATCTGTCCTTTTCAGCTGAAATAGCTTCTGTAGCACAGCTGTGAGTTGTGATCAGAAAGGCAATAACCAGTCAGAGGCTGAAAAAATTTGCCAGGTCTTGGTACTGGAGGTAAGACTTTATTAATGGAGTTAGAAACACAAACTACATTCACGATATTTGCTTTCCTTTATAGAAATACAGCAGGTCCCTCTACCCATATTTGTGCTGTTTCAGCTTCAAAAAAGCATAGCTGGGCTCAGGAAAACATTCACAGCTGCTAAAGATGATGACAGCAAACTTCCTCTTTGCCCCAAGAAGGGAAGATCATTTGAAATACCACAGTTAGATGACCAGCAAGTAGGAAGTTTCCCTTAAAAAATGTGTTTCAACAAGAATATGAGAGAAGAAGGGCTGTTAAGAAATCCTCATTAAGTATAGAATGTTTGCATTTTATCTCATCCTTTTCTTCCATTATTATTAAAAAAAATATTAATTTTGATATTTCTTTTTGCATGAGGTCTAAGCAGGCTGAGATCTCTTGACTTGAAGTCTTGAGCTGTGAGTGACTGTTTATGATCTGTAGAGGAAAGGTCAAATTTATCACCTTTAGCTCTCATATCCCACCTAGCCTCAAAATTAGTATAATGCCTATTACCAAATTGAAGCCACTTCGTTCAGGACTGTAGAAACAAATGTTGTTTTCTCTGCTTCCTCCTTCCCCTCCCACTCATGCTTCAGTGTATGACTCATTTAACCCTTCAAAAACTGAAGATGATCCGACTTTGGGGTTTGCCTATCCCGTTCACAGAAGCAGGGATAGCTGGATCGTTATGTGGTGCCTCGCTTGAAAATTTTCTTTGAGAGCCTCAGACTTTTAAGTCAGTAGCCCTTGAAACTTGTGTAATACAGATAATATCCTCTGTTGTTTGTAACCTTAAGAACTCATCTGGCTTCTTCTGTTGGCTGGAGGACAAAGAAACTCCCTGAAATTCAGAAAGTGCACCAGGAGTCCTTTCTCCAGAAGGACTTGAAGGTTTTAGCAAGGTTTGCTTGCCTCTTTGGAAAGAACTTGGGAAACTGACATCTGGATGTAGCTGGTGTGATGATAAGCAGAAATATATAATTACAGGTTTCTGGTATATGTTCAAAATCCTTGAGTGGAAAGAGTGGCTTTTAATAAGCATAGGCATCAATTAAAACTTGTACTTTGGAACCAGAAGCCCACATACTATTAGCTTTTTTTTTTTTCCCGTGATATGTACCAAATAATTGATAAAACAGCTACACATGCAATGAATTATTACATATAGTTTCTCTGATTCCACAGGAGATGATGAGTTTCTCAAATGATATATATCAGAATATTTCAAACAATTATTTTAGCCTCTGTCATACTCTCGAACCTTTCGATAAAACCAGTTTTAATCCAAGAAGAAATTTTTCCTGTACTGGGACCATGTGTTGTCTCACATCACGTCAACCACTTTATCTGTTTTGGAAAGTAATTAACCTTTTCTGTGCAGCCTGGGGATGTGTTCCTGCAGTTGGTTCTGCACTGAAATCTGGAACTGCTAATGCACTCCACTTATCAGGAAAAGGGAGTGTGTAAATGTGTTCTCATGTCAGATACCATATCAGAGCAGATTCCTGGCATTTGACTAGTCAGCTCAGTGACTAGCAGGAATGCTATTTTTATGTACATTAAAATATCAACATACAAAACTGATAGTATGGGGGTTAAACACTCTCCCAAACCTAAAAAAATGTGCAAAATGAAGTGTAAATGTTTTTGTGTATATCTAGGTAGTGTATAGTACAAAGGAAACTAAACTGCAACAGACTGAGTCCTGACACAATGTGGGTTGCCCTACTGAAAGCTGGGCTCTTTTATGGCTTTAGAAGTGTTACAAAACATCATCACAGAAGATCAACTGCAGAGAGTTAGAGCAAGGAAAGGCACTCAAGGGAAAATAATGGGACTCTGTGGGAGATAAGGCATTCTGCTGAGGAGAAGGTTCAAAACCTCTGTGAAACCCATGTTTTTACTCAGGCCTTTGGTTTGTCTGGTTTTTCTTTTGGAAATATTTACTGAGATTGACTATACTGCTCATTTTTAGTTACTGTTTCATCAAGAGGAAGCAGTATTTATAAACCAATAAAGTGAGAAAGTCGTGTGTTCTTCAAGGTGGCTCTGTGTTACCAGTTTCATTTCCACAGCTTTGAACCTTGTGTCTATTTGTGCCAAAGCAAGATAGGCTTGAGCATAAATGTGATACAGTCTCTGCTCACTTTGACTTGTAGTGGCATTTAGCCTTTGTTTCATCTACTTGACATACAGGGTTAATTTGTGACAATGAGAGTTGCAATTGAAGATAAGATCCTTGGTATGACCAAGCACCAGCTTTGCAATTAACTTTTCATGAGTGCTTCAATGAGTCTGTTTGCTCTGACTATGTTTTAGTTCCATGTCTTGCACATGTAAGCTCACTTCTGCAGTTCTAGTTAGAGAGGTTCTTCACACTTTTGGCACGGTGATGGTCCTGAATAGCTTCTGATACCTGACCAAGTGTAGCTGTGGTTCCTATCTGGGTAAGTAATGACAACACACAGGCAGAAGTGTGAAATATGTTTTCATAAAGATAAGTGCTCATTGGTAGAACAATCTGCAGAAAACCGCAGCAGTATAAAATTCAGAAATGGAACAAAGTGTCTGCATGAATCTACATGTACTGACTATGGAAAGAATGGTATTTAGCTCATACTTTTCAGGATGCATGAACAGAAATACATTGCTTTTATTTTTTGCCAGTCATAAAAAATGACTGAATCAGTAAACTGAAAACAGCCCCAAACAAAACTTTGTTGAATTTGTTAGTAAAAATAACCATTATGCAATGTTCCTAATAGTTTAACAGAGGTATTCAGGAGTATCGGTTTTATTTTAACTCATTGCAATTTTTTCTTCACGTCAAACTGTTTATTTGAATGTATTTTGAAGTCTCATAAAGAAGAGTGGTAAGGAAATTAAACACACTACAACTAAAAGGTGCTTTTTATAGCTATATGTGCACTAGCTTCAATTCTGATGACAGTTGATGGCGTATTTGATTTCATCCATGCAGCAAAGTTTTTTTTATGGATTATATTGGAAGTAAAGCTGCCACTGTTCTGCATTATTGCAATATCGTTGTTCTGTCAACAAGTGCCTTAGTCTACTTATTTTCATGGATAAATGGCTAGAAATGGGAGCTTCTCTTTTAACTTTGAGTCAAGGCAGTGTCAGCTGACAAGCAGACTCTTCCTGCTTATTGAGAAACATTAATGATCCCTGGTCTTGTCTCAGGTCACAGATGACCCAGACTTTTCTCTAACATATTACTCAATTCTCTGCACGGAGAAAACCAGAATAATTTTAGTTCAGTTCAGTTTTAGTCATCAATCTCAAAGTGAATAATAGCAATTTTCTTTCAGCAAACCAAAGGATTAAATTATTTACAAAATTGAAAAGGTAACTGCAAAAGGAAACTTTCAAAGGAATCTAATGCAAGCTTGAAACGTAGCTAGCACCTGCTATCTAGAATTAAATTTCATGGTTTTCAGGTTCTTTAACTGAATCTTTAGCTGTTGTGTTAGTTTGGAGGCTTATAGGAGTGAAATGTTGGTTTTGGTTATTGTGTTTAACTCCAGCCCACAACTAAGTACCATGCTCACTTCCCTGTTGTCCCCCATCCCCAGTGGGGAGGAGAATCAGAAAAAAAGTAAAACTTGTGGGTTGAGATAAGAGCAGTTTAAGAATTAAAACAAAGTAAAATATAGTAATGATGATGATAATGATGGTGATGATGATGACATTGAGAGAGAGAGGACTAAAATGCAGGAGAAACAGGTGATATACAATACAATTGCTCATCACCCACTGACCAATGCCCAGCCCATCGCTGAGCAATGATCAGCCCTCCTGACCAACCCTCTCCCAATTTATGTACTGAGTGTGATATTCTGTGTTACAGAATATCCCTTTGGTTGGTTCACATTGGCTGTCCTGGCCATGCTCCCTCTCGGCTTCTTGTGCACTTCTTTGCTGGCACAGCATGGGAAACTGGAAAGTCCATGTCTTAAAAATAAGAACTACCCAGCAACAACTAAAACATCAGTGTATTATGAACATTGTTCTCACACTGAATGCAAAATAGTCTTGTACCAGCTATTAGGAAGAAAATTCACTCTATCCCAACCAAAACTGGGACAGTTATTTACATCTGCCTTTACAATACACTCACTCTCTGCTCTGTTGATTTGTTCCCTGGACTTGTGCCCCTGTTCAAAACTTGAAGTGGATGGCTGCTTTACTGGATTCCTTCATCCACTGATTGCCCTATATTGCCATATTCTTAATGGCTTCATTACAGGTTTCTTATC